TTTTGGGTCTGGGTTACCTCATTCAGGATAGTGTTTTCTATTTCCATCCATTTGCACGCAAAATTCAAGATGTCATTGTTTTTTTTTTTTTTACCACTGAGTAGTACTTTAATATGTATATATTCCACAGACTAGCTTTATTTTTATTTATATTTTTTGTTTGTTATTTGAGATTGGGTTTCTCTGTAGCTTTGGAGCCTGTCCTGAAACTCACTCTGTAGACTAGGCTAGCCTTGAACTCACAGAGATCCGCCTGCCTCTGCCTCCTGAGTGCTGGGATTAAGGGTGTGCGGCATCACCGCCTGGTTCCAGTAGCTCTTATAACTTAGTTTTACCTGTTTCTCTTTATCCACATTTTGCCTCAGGGATTTTTAACTTTCTTCCATTCTGGAAGTCCTGCTTTTCTGCTTCCTCTGCACCTGGCTGGCTGCGCCCCCTTTCTCTTTCTCTCCAGCCTAGAATCCTCCTCTTCCTTATTCTCTCTGCCCACCAGCCCTGCCTATCCCTCTACTGCCTGTATTGGCTGTTCAGCTTTTTACTAGACCAATCAGGTGCCTTAGGCAGGCAAGGCAAACCAAATGCAGCATAAACAGAAGCAGCGCATCTTTACACAGTTAAGGTAATATTTCACAACTCATTCCTCCTTCCTGGAAGACCCCTCCCCCCTCGGTATTCATGTTTGCAGTAGCATTCAGAGAACATGGGGGCCCTGCCTGCTTCTCTAACTCAAAAAGCGAAACTTTCATTTTTTCCTTCTTTACATCTTTTTCTCCCGAATACTGGATGAAACCTGGGCATGCTTTTCCAAACACCTTGTAGTTTCTCAGGTTTTTTAAAGTCCCTCCCTCACCCTTCCACCCCCACAACTGCCCAAGGAGCTGCCAAACGTTTGCCAGCTTTCTTGTACCCTAACTTTGGAAAGTGTGGCTTTTCCTCTCCCTCTTCTACAGGTAACTGCCAAGGTTCTCAGCGTGAATGCCCTAATTTTGTCTCAAATTTTAATAAAAATTGTCCTCAGGCTTCCTTCTGAGTCTATTTTTAAATTATTTTCTTAACAAGATGAAGGGACGCAAAAGGACCCTTGGTTTTCCTGGTGATGTGGTGCAGTCATAAGTACGTTACTCCTGAAACACAGGCATTTCTGTTTCCCCGTGACAGAATCCATTGACTAGTCTGGCAGTGGTGGTGCACACCCTTAATCCCAGCACTTGGGAGGCAGAGGCAGGTGGATCTGTGAGTGAGTTTGAGGCTAGCCTGGTCTACAGAGTGACTTCCATGACAGCCAGGGTTTCACAGAGAAGCCCTTTCTGGGGGGAAAAAAAGCATCCATTAATAACAAATTGACAAGCTTTAGTACATTCCATGGCAGCAGCTTGCCAGATAACTCTGCCAACCTTGCAAATCTGGCTAGTTAGGGCTCTTTCAGTTCAGTCTTAATTACTAATACTAACATCACATAACACTTACTAAGTATGTTTACATATCTGTTACATATGAGCTGACACATACTTTGAGGTATAAGGTTTATCAGAATGAGAGGACCTCAGAGTCATGACTGGCCCTCAAGGCAGGAGGGAGAACATTGGGCAGAAACAACACAGTAGAAAGCAAGACGGCTGGTTTTATCTGTCGGCCTGGCTATACCTGGAACTAACTAAAAACCCAAAACACAGGGCACACCTGGAGGGATTTTTAGCCAGCTGGATTTTTTAATTAGGAAGACCCACTTTATATACAGATCATTTGAGGTGGGAAGACACCCCCAAAATCTGGGCCACCCCTTCTAATGGCAACCCATGAAGGAAATGTTATTAGGAAGCTTTAGACCTGTGGTGGTGGCCACATCTTTAGGCTCAGCACTTGGGAGGCAGAGGCAGGTGCAACTCTAAGTTTGAGGCCAGCCTGGTCTACAGAGCAAGTTCCGGGACAGAATGAAGAAGCTTTTGCTCCTTGCTCCATGCTCTTTCTGGAATCTACTTCTTCACTGGCATTAGAGCCGACTTCTTTGGGATTCCAGTGTACACTGGAGACCGGATGAGACATCCTGAACAACTACTGGATTCTTGGACCTTCCGTTGGTAGACAGCCATTGTTGGAATAGCCAGACCACAGCCTGTAAGCCACTCTAATAAAAGAGGGAGCAAAGATAGACCATAGGAGGGGGGGGGGGGCAAGAGGAGCCTCTTCACAATATCTCTATAAGCCACCTTCCCCAAGGAGTCTTTCTAAAACAAATCCTCAGAACAAAGGAAATACCTTTTAGAGGTGGCACGAAGTTTTACATCATGCGATTTGGTGCAGAATAGTGTACGTGATGAAGAGCATGCGGAGCCAGGAACCGTAAATTGAGAGCAGTCAAGTCACAGAGCAGTCTGCTTCTTGGTAAGTCTGCATGGGTAAGTGCAGGCTTGTATAGTTTTTTTACTCAGCCCAGTTCAAATATCTCATTTATTATTATCATTATTTGTATTTCTTTTTTTAAAAGATGTATTTCTACTTATGTGTCTGGGCAGTGCCCACAGAGGCCAGAAGAGGGCAGCAGATCTCCTGTGCTGGAGTTAAAAGCAGTCTTTGAGATGCCACCATGTGGGTACTGGGAGCCAAACTGCAAAGATGCAAGAGCTTTTATCTGCTGAGCCCGCTCGGGTCCACATGACGGACTCACTTTCTTCTCTTTCATAGGCCATGTGTAGTTGTTTTTTATTCTTAACTCTTTTGATCTTTCGGGGACCCACTACCCAGCTCCTAAATAAATCACACACACAGAGTCTTACTTATAAATGCCCAGCCTTAGCTTGGCTTGTTTCTTGCCATCTTTTCTTAAATTGTCCTCTGGGCCTTTACCTTTCTGCATATCTTTTCTTTCTTTCTTATTCTGTGTCTAGCTAGGTGGCTGGGTAGCTGGAGCCTTCTTTTCTCACTCCCCCTCTTCTCGATTCTCGACCTCCCTTCCCAGATTTCTCCTCTCATTTATTCTATCTGCCTGCCAGCCCCGCCTATCCCTTCTCCTGCCTTGCTATTGGCTGTTCAGGTGTTTCAGGCAGACAAAGCAACAGCTTCACAGAGTTAAACAAATGCAACATATCTTTGCATCATTAAACAAATAGTCTACAGCATAAACAAATGTAACACATCATAAAATAATATCCCACAACACCGGGTGTGTCTTGGAGTTTTATTGCTGGCAAGAGACACCATGGCTATGACAACTCTTATAAAGGAAAACATTTGATTGGGGTGGCTTACAGTTCCAGAGGTTCAGTCCAATATCATCATGGCAGGAAGCATGGCGGCATGCAGGCAGACATGGTGCTGGAGAAGGAGCTGAGAGTTCTACATGTGGATCCACCGGCAGCAGGAAGAGCAAGTGAGCCATCCAAGGCCTAGCTTGAACATTTGAGACCTCAAAACCACTCCCAGTGATACACTTCCTTCAACAATGCACACCCACTCACTCCAACAAGGCCACACCTACTCCAACAAGGCCACACCTCCTAATAGTGCCATTCTCTATGACCCTATGGAAGCCATTTTCATTCAAACCACCACACCTTGTGCACTAGGGTTCTCTAGAGGAACGGAATTTATAGAATGTATCTAATGTATATAGAAAGGAGATTTATTAGAGTGTCTTACAGGCTGTGGTCCAGCTAGTCCAACAATGGCTGTCTACGAACGGAAGGTCCAAGAACGTGCAGCCCAGATTAAACGTGGATCTTCCCACCTCAAAAGATCTGGATTAGAAGTGGGTCTTCCCCCTTCAAATGATTTAATTAAGAAAAAAAATCCCTGGGCTGGAGAGTTGACTCAGTGGTTAAGAACACTGACTGCTCTTCCAAATGGACCTGGGTTCGATTCCCAGCACCCACATGGCAGCTCACAACTGTCTTTAACTCCAGTTAAAGAGAATGCCAGGGAACCCAGCATCCTCACACAAACACGAAGGCAAAACCCCAATGTACATAAAAAAAAAATCTTTAGAAAAAAGAAAAGAAAAAGAAAAAAACTCCTCCTAGGTGTACCCAGTCCCTTGGGTTTTCTTTAACTCCAGATGTAGTCAAGTTGGCAGCCAAGTATAGCCATCCCAGTGTGTGGATTAGTGCGTGAAGCAGCCAAGCATAGCCATCCCAGTGTGCGAAACAGCCAAACATAGCCATCCCAGCGTGTGGATCAGTGCGTGAAACAGAAAAAAGAAAAGTTGATTCAGGCACAACCTGACAATTTTTTCCTGTGTTTTTGAGACATGCTCTCCTTATGTGACCATGGTGGTTTGAATGATAGTGGCTCATATATTTGAAGACTTAGTCACCACGGAGTGGAACTGTCTGAGAATCAGAAGGGCTGGAAGTTGTGGCCTTGCTGGGGGAAGTGTGTCACTGAGGGTGGGTTTTGAAGTTTCAAAAGCCCATGGAGGGTCCTGCATTTCTCTCTGCCTGTTGCCTGTGGGTCAGGTGCAAAGATCTCAGCTACTGCTCCAGGACCATGCCTGTCTGCTTTCTGACATGAGGAGCATTGACTGACCTTCTAAACAGCAAGCAAGCCGCTATTTAAATGCTTTCTTTTATAGTGGTTACCAAGGTCATAGTGTCGATTCACAGCAATAGAACAGTAACTAAGATAGTAACCCACGCAGGATTCTTGCCTCATCTTCCCAAGCACTGAAACGCCAGGAGTGCCCACCATGCCCAGTTTCCACCTGTTTATTGAAAGGAAAATTGTAAGCTGGTGGGGAAAGAGCTTTTCAGAGAATTCTGGGACATGTAGTCCAGACGCTTTCTGTGGTCAGAGCACTTCTACGGGAAAGCTTGACTTTGGAAATGTTTCATGGGATAAACTAAAGTACAATCCGCACGTTTGGTGAGATTTCGGTTGCCTGAGGGCTAGAAAGTAAAGCCAACTAATCTGAGAACTCTAGGAAACGCCACTTCCCTATGGGGTGATGGCGCAAACTCTGCCCCGGGCTCCTGCCCCTAGGAATCCTGGGAGTTGTAGTTTTGGAGCTTGGCGTTACGGGGCATTTTGCCTGTAGAGGTTGGAGATCCTGTGAATGCGGTCCTTCAAGGAAGGTGAGAGGGTCGGGGTGGACTTGAGTACCACCTGATCTCTTTTGACTTCCACGGTCTGGAAACGGGAGGGGCGAGGATCTCTTCCGGGTCACCGAAATGAGACATTGTTGCAGATGTTGCACGGCAGCATCGGCTGCCTTCTGATTTGGGGGAAAGTTTAGAAATTCTGGGGGTTTGGCCCCAAGGAAGACCTGGACTTGGCAGCGTTTGCAGAAACTCCTCGAGTTGGTGATGACAAACTCACTTTCCCTCACCCTGAATCTTTCTGTGCCATAGTTTCCCTTCGTGCAAAAAGGAATGCAAAGAGCATCTGTAATACACATTTGGTTTTAGGATCAATTATAGAGTACAAAAAAAATGCATGCATGTGCCCTTCAATTGAAGAATGGATGAAGAAAGTATGGAATATATACATATTAGAGTACTACTCAGCAGTAAAAAACAAGGACTTCTTGAAGTTTGCAGGAAAATGGATGGAAATAGAAAACACTATCCTGAGTGAGATAAGCCAGACCCAAAAAGNGTGTGTGTGTGTGTGTGTGTGTGTGTGTGTTCTGTGTGGTATCTGGTTTGGTAACTATACAAATACACATCTTGTATGTTTGTATAGTTCTTGGTACATGCAGTGTTCTCGGGACCACGGAAGTTTGTCACCCTGCATGTGGATGCAGCACTTTGTGTCAGAGATGTTATGACAATTTTCACTTATTTATTTATTTGAGGTAGGATCTCGATCTGTAGCCTGGATGCACTAGAACCCACTAGGCTCTCCTTGCAATCCCCCCACCTCAGAACTGAAATTATAGTGTGTGCCGCCACACCTTGCTTCTTCCGACCCTTTTGCCTGACTGCTTAAGGAATTTTTAATTGTCAAAAATATATTTTTACTTTTTAAAATTATGAGTATGTGCATATGCGCACATCCACTCCTGCACAGACACACAGACAAACACACGCCTGTCAGTGGGCAGCAGGTGTCCATGGAGTCCACAGGTGTTGGAGCTTCTGCAGCTGGAGTTATTGGTGGTTGTGAGCCACCCAGTGTGGATGCTGCAAACCAAACTCACACCCTCTGCAAGAGCGATATGTGCTCTTAACTGCTGAGCCGTCTCTCCAGTCCCTCTGTGACCTGTTTTGTTTTTCCATTTTTAGCTTTATGTGTGGGAGTGTTTTACTCGCATGTAAGTCTTGTACTGTGTACATGCTTGGTACCTGGAGTGTTCAGATGAAGGCATGGGATCCCCTGAAACTGGAATTAGAGATGACTGTGAGCCTCCAAGTGGGTGCTGGGAACAGAACCCGGGTCCTCAGCAAGCGCAGCCAGTGTTCTTCTCTGATAAGCCTACTCCGTAGCCCCAGACCTGTTTCAAAAAGGAAGTGTGGTGTTCACAAGTGAGTCTGGGAAATGGTTGTCAGAGTATTCACAGTGTTTTCTTTCACTGTGGAAATTTCCAGATACTTTCAGATAGAGTAAAATGAACTCCCGTGTGACAGTCACTCTCTTACTGTCTTGTTTTTGAAAGTCTTTCTGCTTTCCTTCCTCTCCCAGTGCGTTTTGTTTTGCCCTTGAGTAATGTGCATATGTGTGCGCATGTGTGTGTGTGCCTGTGTGTATGTATGTGTAGGGGTGATAGGTGTGTGTGGAGGCCTCTCTCTCTCTCTCTCTCTCTCTCTCTCACACACACACACACACACACACACATTATATCTTCTGAGACAGGCTTACTGAACCTGGTGCGCCTCCATCCCGTAAGATTAGCAGGTCAGTGAGCTGCAGGGAGCCTCCTTTTTGGGATGTTTACTCAGTAGGACTTAAGATTTACTGTGTTTGTATATGAAGACCAAGAGAGGAACTTTTCTATTCATTTGTTAGGACTGCCATTCAAAAACACACAGAGTGGACAGTTCAGCAATCCTCGTGTGTGCGACTGAGCCTTGTGTAGGCCAAGATGACCTCAAACTCTCCTAGTGTAGGCTACTCTATGTAGTGAGACCCTGACTCAAACAAAATGAAAAGTATAGTTAGAAAAAAGGTGCTTGCCTTCCTTTGCTCTTCTGCAGGTGCACGGTCACTAAAGTGTGACTCTTGTTTACATATCTTCATTTTTATTTTCTCCACACTAGCAGGTTGCAGGGACCTCTGCTTCGTGGACCCCATCCTGCCATCCTCTGAGTGGCCAGCAGTTGGCCTTCAGGAGGAGTTATCCAATGAGTAAGCATGGTTCATGTAGCTGTCCACCAGGCAGCCAGAATAGGTGCTGTGGCTTGGGATTAGACCTTGGTGTTCCTTGGGGAATGGGACTCATGCACAGTGGGGGCTTCCTCCAAGAAAATCCGGGGACTGTGTTACCTTTTATTAACAGCAAAGCCTGTGCATAATGATTGCCAGACAGAAAGAGGAATCCAGGCCAGGTCACCGGCTGTTCCCGCTGGGGGTCCAGCTCTCTGCTGCTGCTGCTTCCTAGGTCCCAAGGGGGATGGGGAACCTGAACCAAGCCGCCAACCGCAAAGGAGCGCAAGCCCTCTCCCCTCCCCACCTCTGCCGGTGCCCTTTATTTGGGTCACATACTTTTCAACCCAACTCCACCCCTTGGGTCAATGCTCTGAGTGCAGACAGCACTTTCTGCTGTCTCTGCCGGCCCTAGAACAGAACCGCAGTCCTGAGACCCATAGGACATGTGTTGTGTGTGGCTGGCACGGGTCTCCTTTACAGGGTCCTGAGCAGACAGTGTGAGCTGTGACTGAAATCCGGCTCCTTCTTGTCATCAAGCCACACTGAGAAGCGGATGCCACGTGGGCTGGAAGCACAGATGACCAGACTCGCACGGGCTGTCTTCTCTCCCGGAGTATGTCTTCCCCAGACGCAGCTGTGCCCCCGGAAGACAACAGGATGACCAAGGCCAAGGTGAGTTGAGCTTTTTCGTTTGTTTTTGTTTCGTTTTCTTTTGAGACCCGGCACCACTAGATAGCCCTGACTGGCCTGGAACTTAATGCATAGACCAAACTGACTTTGAACTAACAGGCATTTGCCTGCCTCTGCCTCCCGAGTCCTGGGATTAAAGGCGTGTGCCATCACTGCCTGGCCAAATTGGGCTTTTTCTAAGTTTCAAAGTATTGTCTAACTCGTGGTGCTGATCACCAGCCTGGTCTACCAGGACAGTCAGAACTGTTACACAGAGAAACCCTGTCTCCAAAATACAAAAAACAAAACAAAACGAACAACATCAAGAAAGTGTAGTATAATTTCTCAACGATTCTGACATCTTGCTTTTTTCTCTGGGGGAGAAAAGAGGGGAACAGTGGGTGTTGGAGAACTTGTTGGGCTCAGCAGTTAACAGTGCTGGCTGCTCCTGCAGAGGATCCAGGTTCCATTCCTAGCAAATGTAACATCTGTAACTCCAGGTTCTGGGGATCTGCTGCCCTCTTCTGGCCTCTGCATGCAGTGCATAGACGTGCATGTAGGCAAAACACTCATACATAAAATAACTTGTTTTTGAAACAAGAACCTGTTGCTAAATGCTTATTAACCTTTTTATTTTAATATATATCAATTTCTTTTTATTTCTAAAAATTACCTCAAAGGACTGAGAGATGGTTCAGCAGTTAAGAATGTTATTGTAAAAGACCAAGTTTGGTTCCCAGCAGCCATGGAGTGACTGCAATTCTCCATAGCTGCGGTTCCAGGGGACCTGACATTCTCTTCTGCCCTCCATGGACACCAAGTATGCATGTGTTACAGAACCATATAGGCAAGCAAAACACACACACACATACGTATATATGTATATAATAAGAATAAATAAATCTAATAATCACCTCGAAATTGGATAAATGACCCCAGTATGGAAAAGTGTGAAATGCTGAATAAATCCACATTTGCTGTCATTTTGCTTGTAAAACACCCAATTTCTGTTGTTGGGATGTTTTATTCTTTTGGCTTTTGTGGGGGGCCACCACCCAGTTCCCAAATGAATTACACGGCTTATTCTGATTTTCAAACGCCTGGCCTTAGCTCGGCTTGTTTCTAGCCAGCTTTCCTTATCTTAAATTGTCCCACCTACCTTTTGCTGGGCCTTTTGCTTTTCTGACTTCTGTGCTCTTACTTCACTCTTCTCCACATCTGGCTGGTGCTGGCCCCTGACATCTTCCTCCCCTTCTTCTCACACTGCTTCTCCTCTTCTTGGTTTCTATGTATTCTCTCTGCCTGCCAGCCCCACCTATCTTTGCTCCTGCCTCGCTATTGGCCATTCAGCTCTTTATTAGACCATCATGTGTTTTAGACAGGCAAAGAATCACTGCTTCACAGAGTTAAACAAATGCAGCATAAACAAAAAGCACACACCTTAAAATAATATTCCCCAACAATTTTCCTTTCTTCTTTTTTCCATGACACAATACTTTATTTGTAATAATAGTATAGCTAAAACTTTAAAATTATACCTTTTCAAGCAATATTATACACCTTAATTCTTCTTTTTCAGTACTGGATATCAAATCCAAGGCCTTCCTTGTGCTAGGCAGGGGCTCTACCACTGAGCCACACCCCAGCCCCTCACTGGGGGATTCTAGGTGGGGCTTCTATTACTGAGCTGTATTTCAAATCCTGGTTTCTTTTCTTTCTTTTTTTTTTTTTTAACAGGCCGAGTCTTACTGTGTAGCTAAGTCTGGTCTCAAAGTTTCAATCCTCCTTCTTGACTCTCAGTGCTGAGATTTCTGGCTTTTACTCCATGTTTTCAATGACATTATGCTCCCATAAGTCTACATGATCTGTCATGGAGGAGGTACTTGCAACAGATGTTTTTTCTCTACTCACAGATATTTAAATAGCTTAGTAGTTTTAATGTGTTAAGGAATGTTCTAGTGATATTTACATAAATGAATATTCTCCTCCAGAAAAAATTCAAGGAAGTTTCGTTACTGTTCCTGTTATTTAGGAATACTAAATTAAAACACATTACAATATTTCATTTGTACGAGTGTTCTGCCTGAATATAAGTCTGTGCCCCATGTGTGTGCCTGATGCCCACAGAGGGCATCGGATCTCCTGGAACTGGAGTTACAGTCAGCTGTAGGTGCTGGGAATTGAACCTGGGTCCTGAGGAAGAGCAGCCAGTGCTCTTAGCTACTGAGCCATCTTTACAGCCCCTAAAACTTGCTTTTGACATAGGATACTTTGGTTGCTCTGCATGGAGCACATATTGTTCAATGTGTTCTAATTAATCATAGAAGATGGTCATTTTCACATAAGCTAGGACTTCCTTTTCATAGCTGAGTCATACGCTGGCTGTGTTTACTAACTGATTTCCAAGTTTCCATTTACTACGTGAATGTGTTTTATTGACGGAACAGTGTATTCAGGTTGAAAAGTCTAGTCATACAAGGCAACTTGCCGGGTTCCTCAGAACCACCCTGTGAGGCAACGCCTGTTTTAATGCATTCCAAAGAGTTGGGAGGTTGAAGCTCAGACAACCGCTGAGGTCTGCCCAGGAGGTCAACATCCAGCAGACTCCGTGCAAGACCTTATATTGGGGGTGGGGTGCAAGATGCTGAGACAAAGATACCTTTTCCTGGTTCACTCTTGGATGGATCCTCATCTGGGATGACTGTGGTTTGTCTGGGGACCCTGAATGTTCTGGGCTCCAGTAGTGACCAGTTCCCAAATGAAAACTTAAAGCAGCCCCGTTGGCCATGATGAGTCTAGAGCACATGGAACTCACCCCCAGACAGCAAGTGGAAACAGTTCTGTCACCCTGCTTTGGGGGATCCAGCGGTGTTTATTATATAAGCTAGAGATGATGGTGAGCATCCCGCAGTGCATCAGACAGCCCCCACAGCTGTAGAGTACTGGCATAGAATGCCAGTAGTGTTCCGGTCGGGACGCTCTCCTGTATACAACTGTGCAAGAAGGACAGGGCCGGGGATATAGCTCAGTGGTAGAGCTGTTGCCTCGTATGCATGAGGCCCTGGGTTCAATCTATCATTTCCCAGTATCAAAAACATTTAAAAATTATATGATTTGTCACATGCAAAAAAAAATTATATGATTAAGCAGATGAATTTATCAGGCATGGTGGTTCACACCTGTAATCCCGGCACTTGGGAGGCAGGGATGGATGTGGGAAGATCAACACATGATCAGAGCCAGCTTGGTCTTCAAGGCAAGTTCCTGATCATCCAAGGCTACAAAGCAAGACCCTGTCTCAAAATCCAAACAGGAACAGTAACAAAGAGAGGGCGGATAGCACGGCAACACGGACTCTGGGTGCTCGACTCCAGGTTGCTCCCTGCTCATCCTCCCCACATTTCTCAGAGCTGTCCTTCTTGCAGAAGACCGAGGTTGAAGTTGAGTGTTTGGTGTCCCAGGAGATGGTGACGTTCAGGGATGTGGCCGTGGTCTTCAGCGAGGAGGAGCTGGGCCTGCTGGATGCTGCCCAGAGGAAGCTGTACCACGATGTGATGCTGGAGACCTTCAGGAATGTGGTGTCACTGGGTGAGGGCAGATACTGGTGCTGAAGAACAGGTTCATGCAGTGTGGCCTTAGATGGGATCGGAGCTCCTGAAATAGTTTCGAGTTGTCATGTGATATAGAACTGGAATCTCCCGAGTTTTATAAATGTAAATTGAAAGCGTGGTAGTATGTTTTCATCTTTCTCAAATCACAGTCTCAATTAGTGGGTGGTGGCACACTCTGAGTCATTTCTACCAACATTATTTCCACTAAAGGAAGTTGAGGCACTGGAGAGAGAGCTCATCAGTTAATGCTTTCTGTGCTTGTAGAGGACCAGAGTTTCGTTCCCAGCACCCACATTGGGTGGCTCCCAAATACCTGTAACTCCAGCTCCAGGGGATCTGCTGCCCTCTCCTGGTCTCCATGGGCACCTACAGTCATAACACACACACACACGTCAATAAAAATCAAAAGAAATATTTAAAAAAATTAAATGAAATAGGGTTAAAGCCAAAACATGGTCATCAGATAATGGCACCTGGTACCAAGGCTGATGATCCCAGTTCAGTCCCTGGGGCCTACATTGTGAAGGGAAAGAACCAAGTCCCACCTGCTGTCTGTGACCACCAATGGTGAACACAACCACACACTAAATATAAGTGTAATAAAATACAAAAGAAAATACCCTGACAGTCTATCTAGGACCTGGCCAAGAACTGTTTGGGAGACAAGGGAGGGGAGTAATAAACATAGGCATGTGTCAACTGATTTGTACTAAAGTCTGTGTCTGTATGTTTTGGGGCTTCTCAGACAATGTATGTCTTCCACTGACTTCTGTTATTAGTTTGGGAAAGAATAGGTTTGATATCCCGAAGCAGATGCCATGGAATACATATCTTTAGGAATTGGAGCCTCTGCTGTGTTGATTTAAAATATATTCTTCAAAGCTGGGTGGTAGTGGCACACGCCTTTAATCCCAGCACTTGGGAGGCAGAGACAGGCTGATCTGTGTGAGTTCAAGGCCAGTCTGGTCTACAAGAGCTAGTTCCAGGGCAGGCTCTAAAACTACAGTGAAATCCTGTCTCGGATATATATATCCTTCACAGGGCATCAGCTCATGACTCCAGATGTTTTACCCTGGCTCAAGAGAGATGACCTGCTTTGGATGTTGATCACTAGCTGCAGCAGTGAGTCTACAGGTGAGAACAGAGCGACTCATCCACCCTGCTTCTTAGCATGTGCACAGCTTTGGGGCTGGTGTCAGCCAGGGCTTTGTACGAATCTTGTGAGTCCATCCTGCTCTCAGCATCCGTCTCCACTTGCATGGACTCCCTCAGACTTATTAACATCATGCTCTTCCTCTACATCTGGATAGCTACTGTGGATGTGTCCACATGTGTTTGCATATGCATGCGCGCACACGTGCGCGCGCGCACACACACATGCAGGGAGGTAATAGATCAATGTTGTCTTCCTTGGTCACTTTCTACCTTACATTTAAAAACTTTATTTATTTATTTATTTATTTATTTATTTATTTATGTGTGTGGTGAGCAGTGTCATTGTGATGCTCTGTAGGACTCTTCTAAATGGTTCTCATTAATAAGTATGGGAGCCTTGGCTTCTAGGGCGTGGAGGTGAGATGACAGACACAGGGTGTTAAAGGGAAGGGGACCATCCTCTGGTCCAGTGAAGCCTTAGGCTGAGATCTTAACTATGTAACTCAGGCTCCAGCCAATAGAGCATCCACACGCCCTGCCTCTCTCTGAACTCTCTTTATGCTTTTAGGAGCCAGGAGTCTAAATGAGACGGAGTTGCTTCAGGAGGTAGGATGGAGGTACCTGCCGCACGAGGAGCTTTTCTGCTCAGGAATCTGGCACCAAGTTACAAGGGAGTTAACCCAGGGTCGAGACTGCATGGGGAACGCTGGAGAAACTGGCTCTCCGTTGGGGAAACGGGATGGTGTCCAGTGTGAAGACGCCGGCTTCAGTAAACATTCTGATCAGAATTTATTTCTTCAAGTTCACCATGGAGAATGCCATGAAGAAGAGACATGTGTGAAAATTTCCGGTTGCAGCCACCATCTTCACGCTCTTCCAGGAGAGAAGCCTTACAAGTGTGAGAGCCGTAACACCTTCCATCGGGTCTCAAGTCTTCAGTGCCGCCAGAGAGTGCAAGAAAGACACAGATCACACAAGTCTGACACACTGTTCAGAAATCTCGGTCAAAGGCCACCCTTTCATCACCACCAGAGCGTCCCCACTGCAGAAAACTCAAACGAATATGAGGAGTGTGGGACTCCTGGGAAAAACTCATGTGGTGAGACCCCTCTGTTAGTCCACACAAGAGAGGGACCCCATAAATGTGAGGCGAGTGGGGCGGGCTTCAGTCAGAGCACGTATCTCTCTGTGGATCGGCGAGTCCATTCTGGAAAGGAACCATTTCAGTGTAAAGAACGTGGGAAGGGCTTCAGCTGGTTTTCATGGCTGCGTGCCCATCATGGAATCCACACCGGAGAGAAACCGTACAGATGTGATGTCTGTGGCAAGAGCTTTAGCTACAGCTCACACCTTAGCATCCATAGTAGAATGCACACAGGAGAAAAGCCCTATAAGTGTGGGGAGTGTGGGAGAGGCTTCAGTGTAGGCTCGCACCTCCAAGCTCATCAGATAAGCCACGCTGGAGAGAAACCGTACAAATGCGAGGCATGTGGGAAAGGCTTCTGTCGGGCCTCGAATCTTCTGGACCATCAGCGAGGCCACACTGGAGAGAAGCCATATCAATGTGAGGCTTGTGGGAAGGGCTTCAGTCGGAGTTCTGATTTTAACATTCATATTAGAGTCCACACGGGTGAAAAACCCTACACGTGTGAGGAGTGTGGGAAAGGCTTCAGCCAAGCCTCAAACCTTCTGGCCCAACAGAGAGGCCACACTGGCGAGAAACCCTACAAATGTAGCACGTGTGGGAAGAGCTTCCGTCGGAGTTCAGATCTGAACGTTCACTGTAGAATCCATACCGGAGAGAAACCCTACAAATGCGAGAAATGTGGGAAAGCCTTCAGTCAGTTCTCGAGTCTTCAGGTGCATCAGCGGGTCCATACGGGAGAGAAACCATATCAGTGTGCAGAGTGTGGGAAGGGCTTCAGTGTGGGTTCACAGCTTCAAGCCCAACAGAGGTCCCACACCGGAGAAAGACCCTATCAGTGCGAGGAGTGCGGGAAAGGCTTCTGTCGGGCCTCCAAATTTCTAGCTCATCGCGGAGTCCACACAGGAGAAAAACCCTACCAATGCGACGTGTGTGGCAAACGCTTCCGGCAGAGGTCCTACCTCCAGGCCCACCAGAGGATCCACACTGGCGAGAAACCGTACAAGTGCGAGGCGTGTGGGAAAGGCTTCAGCTGGAGCTCATATCTCCAAGCCCACCAGAGAGTTCACACTGGAGAGAAACCGTACAAGTGTGAGGCCTGCGGGAAAGGCTTCAGCTGGAGCTCGAGCCTTGTGATTCACCAGCGAGTCCATGCTGACGCTGAATGTGGCAAGGGTCCTTCTTCATCAGAGGATTCATATGGGAAATAAACTCTACAAACTTACGTCTAATCCAAACTGTCAAAGAGCACAGAAAATCATCTCATAATTGGGAGTGTGTATCAGCTAGAGTTATCATAGATTCTCGTGGTGTTTGGGAGACCAGACATCAGAGGGAACTAGTGTGGACCTTTGATTGTTTCGTTCAGAATCTTGACCCTAATCAGATCCATGCAGACAAGATGCCCGGAAAAGACAAACCTGACCTGGAATTAACTAGAGGCACAAACCTATTAGAGTGTAAATCCTACACTCCAATAGAAGGGAGACATCATTCACAGTCAAATTTTCCCCGCCTTTCCAGTGCCTTTCAATAATTGTTAAGAAAGCCAGACATAATGGCTCACAGTTGTAATTGCAGCTCTCGGGAGGCCGAGGGGAGACCTTGTCTATAGGATCAGCCTGAGCTATGGTGTGAGACCCCCATCTCAACACACCAAAATACTAACAATAAGCCATGTGAGGAACAATCGTTTGAAAGGTTTTATTAAATTCTCTCCGAGAGTTTCTATAAAGACGTTCTCAGGAGTGTTCTAGAAGGCTTGCAGAGCATATGAATTAGATGTCTCTGCTCCTTTCCCCAAATCTACAGGGAATATTGGTCAGACTGAAGTTCCTATGGGCAGACATGGCGTCGTGGACAGCACTTCTGTATGTTAACAGTAACAGTGCCAACATGCACAAGTCACATTCAGGCCTTCCTGAGTTTGGACAAATGAATTCACATGTAATTCTCTCCAGCACCAGTGTGTGAATGTTCCTGCTAAGCAGGTGCTTTATGTCCATTTCCCGTCAGTCCCGCCTCAGTGGCAACAAGTGCGGCTCCCACATTGCACTTTAGGTGGGTTTGTTCTTGAGTTTCTCGTAGATTAAGTGTGGACTATGGAATCTTATCTCAATAGATGAAAGAAAACATTGCACAGAAGCTTCCATCTGTTCTTGGGAATAAATGTTCTCAGTGAGGTAAACTGTGTTTGGAGTCCTGCTCAAATATGGTGGTGCACAACTACAATCTCAGCACTGGGGAGGTAGGGCCAAATATGGTGGTGCATGCTGTCAGGGACCAGCATGGACATAAAACATTTCTTGTACCAGAGTGGAGGTGTGGGAATAAATGAGGCACAATTCAGATGATAGTATTAGTAGGGAGTTTCAGGGATCATTTAAATCCTGAAATCACCCATGTTTGTTTTCCAAACAACTTTAATATCAAGGTAAACTGAGGGAGGGCAGGCAGTGCAAACTTCCTTAGCATTGTTTCCTAGGTTGTGGGGGAATGACTTAGGTCATGTCCTGTGCATGCCTATTTTGTCATGAAATGCACCTTAGGTGTTGATAGTTTGAGTTTAAAAGTCCCTCCCTCAGAGGGGAATCCTGGGCCCAGCAATGACCACAAGAAAGGAACAGACTTGCTCTCATCTGGTTCTGCTTTAAGGTCAGGAATTGGTTCTACCAGCACACGCTGGGTTTCCTTGGTGACGCCGTGGGCAGCTCAGCCATCTTCTCAGATCCAGATCTTTGTCCCTGCTTTTGTCTCTGGCTCTTCTCAACCCCCTTTTCAGTTTGCTTCTCAGTAACGTTTAGAATCAGCTTTGTGATTTTTAAATGCAAGCTCTGGTTTCGTTTGGGACTGCACTGGATATATAATTAATTTCTGGACAGTTAACATCTTAACAATATTGACTGTTGCAGCAATCAATACAGTATGATTTGCCCAGAACTCTGGGTTTCCTTCAATACAGATGTGTAGTTTTCAGCATAGAGAGTCTGTACATATTTTATTCAATTTATACATAAGCATCCCACATTTTTGTGCTAAATTAAACGATAAAATTTTTCTAACTTCATTTTCAGTTGTTTGCTGCTCTGATGTCGAACTCTAGTGGACTGTTTTATTTTGGGTTTCTTTGCCACAGCTATTCTATGAGTTTCTTGGGATTGTCCCTGTGGACAATCATATCATGTGAAAATTACTCTTTTTCCCTTGCTGCTCTGTGTGCCTGTTACAGCATCTCCACTGAACCACACACATACTCCAAGATTTGATTTGGATTAAAAAAAAATCAAACACTTTTAACAATGGTCCTTTGGGATAATTAAAAAGAAAGTTCATCCTGAGGATTGATAAAGAGAAGATTGGGGGAGGTAAGTGGGGGGAGGGAAAGGGAAGGGGTGTTACGAGAATTTTGTCACCGGTCAACTAGTCAACTGAAAGAAGCATTTTTTGTCCGTCCGAGAGGCAGGGTTTTCATTGGGGATGGATGCGACCAAGGGGAAAGTGGTCCTTTAGAGGAAGGAGCGAGCAGCGGCTTGAGACTCGGTTCTGGGTCCCCATTTGTCCTTTAATATTTGTGCACGGATTTTGCCTGATAATAAACGGCAAAGCGATCGTTTATCAGAGGGGAGAGGGAGACGGAGAGTTTGAATTACCAGTGTGCTCGTGTTTTAAAAGAGGCAGCGTGGCAGGAGGTTAAGAGGTGGTGGGGTGTGTGCGTCTGTGAGGTAGTGGGTGGATCCGTCCAGATATCTAGGAGCTGTGGTGTTGGTCAAATCCTTATGTCACCCCTCGTTCTGGCTTACCACAACTTGAGGTTTTCTATAAATAAGAACTTTTCTGATATTTGAGAAGGACCACGCTTACAAAATTGGCTAGATAGAGCTAGTGACTTTAAAATAGGATTGTCTTTTCTTAGAGTCAGGGTCTCACTATGTAGCCTGGGCTGGCCTGGAACTCGATATGTAGACCAGTGGCATATGTCCTGCTAACCTGGACAATTGAAAAAAAAAAAAAACACTAGAAGAACTCTTCAAAATAAAAAAAAAAATACTCTTCCGTACCTGCAGGAAGTGTACATTGGGACTATATTTACAGACATTCTGTCCTGCTTTATCCGTTTTAGTATCACAGTATCACATTGCACAAGTCTTTATCGGATTCCCCGGTAATTCCTTGAAGATTCTTATCTCCGCAGTGGTTTGCTTTCCTCCTTCTTCCCCGCACCCAACTGTCAGGCGTGCTGTCTGGGGACTATTTACCTATAAGACTCAGGTATATAAGGGAACGCTAGGGACAAATTATTGTCTATGAGGTGAGGACTCTTAACTTTTCCTTCAGGGTCCTGTGGGAAGTGACAACTTCAGAGGCAGCCTGGCGTCGTGGCACACGCCCCCAGCACTTGAGAGTGGGGAGGCGTTGAGTTCAGTCCGGGTTGCGTAGTGCGGACTAGTGTCTCGCAGATCAAATAAGAATTTCCGGGGAGGAGTAGGGGAATAGCTGTGTGGCACGCACACAAAGCACAGAGTAGCTACACTCGATAAAGCGAGTCCATGATCGGGTTTCCTCACCACTATAATTCCACAGTGTCTGGCCCGCTTGTAAGTGGGCGCGCTGACGCGGTTGTTTCTAGGAATTGTAGTCCGGATTCTCCGGCGCTGGGCGCGCTTCTGCATTCTGGGAATTGTAGTTTAAGTTCTCTGCCTGTCGCCTGAGCTTAAGGCTGAGCCGGGGTCCGATGCATAGCATTCTGGGAAGTGTCTCCAGGTGGTTTCAGTTAGCACCTGCTCCGCACGTCCTCCCGTGAGTCTCCTCTCTCCCGCACCTTCCTCGACTGAGCCCTAGATCTGGAGGTTTGCGGGGTCGGAGGCGGGCGGCCGTAGGGGAATCGGCTCCAGGCTGGCGGGCCGGAGTGCAGTGAGCCGCCAGTGAGCCCCACTCCATCCCGCAGAGATCATTGCACTGACGGGGGTCTCTGCCTGTGACCGGGTCATTCTCCTGCCTCAGCCTCCCCAGTACTGCGACGACAGGTGTGAACCGTCACACCTTGCTTCTCTGCTGTCGCCTGGAGTTGGGGAGCAAGGGCCATGCTGACAGGGTTGTTTGGGGGATTGATGCAGCTAGTGTCACCGGGCCCTGAAGGTTCTACGACTCACACCCATAATGCAGGGAACCGGGATAGGTGGAGGAGGTACTTTGAGAGTTGTCATAGACTCATAGAAGGACACGTCTGTGGTTTTTACACGATGTCATTTTATTGGACGGTGAGAAGGTCACAAGCTATTATCAGTTTCGTTGGCTGCCACCTGCCAGGGAATCTCGATTTCACTTGGTAGTTGACCATTAATCATGGGTTCTTTTATTCCCATCTTAATAATAATGATAAATCTCAGCCCATGCATTACTCTGCACACACTTATACATACACATGTGCACAGGTTACGGAGTGACTGATGAGAGGGTTAAAGATGTTTCAGCATTCAGAGGTTCCCTGAAGTCACGTTGTTTATACAACGAGATGTGTGTGTGTACACACGCACATGCAGGCGTGTGAGCCTGCATGCACTCTCACATGCTGCACTGTGCACGTGGAGGTCAGAGAACAACTCACTGAAGACTCCCAGGAATTGGACTCAGGTCACCGAGTTTGGTGACAAACACCTTTTCCCACTCATCCATCGGCACAAGGGTTTCCCCTTGCTTTAACTTTTTTTTTTTTTTTTTTTTTTTTAAGGCAGGGTCTTTCTATGGAATCCTGGTTGTCCTGGATTTTGCTAAGTAGACCAGGCTGGCTTCAAACTTGGAGATCCGCCTGCCTCTACTTCCTGGATGCTAGGATTAAAGGCATGTGCCACCACTGCCTGGCCCTTTAACTTTTTAATCTTCTCTGTTAGTCTAGAAATGAAAGCCTTGAACTGTTCATGTCATGTGATCCTGAGCTCTTCTTGTGAGTGTTTATTTCTCTAAGCTTTCAGATCTCTCACTGGGGGCAATTTCAGCTGTAGGGGGTGTTCCTGGACCTCCTTCAACTTCAGGGAGTGCTCCCGGACCTCCTTCAGCTTCAGGGAGTGCTCCCGGACCTCCTTCAGCTTCAGGGAGTGCTCCCAGACCTTCTTCAGCTGCAGGCAGTGCTCCCGGACCTCCTTCAGCTTCAGGGGGTGCTCCCGGACCTCCTTTCTGTCCCCATCAATACTGGTTAACCCTGTACACCTTCCCATACTCTTTAGAAAGGGGGAGATTGTCTCCAGGTTGGTGGGCAGGAGGGGACGGTTTAACTGCTTTGTTGGGGATGACTATCACGGTATTTCACAATGTTCTTCCTTTCCACAGCCTGACCTCTCAGCATGGATTGAGTGGAAGGTGAGGTCGTGATTCCTTCAGCGTGGACAGCAAAGTTCCCGGTGAGTTGACCTGGCTTCTGTTGTTTTGAGGAGTCTCTCTGTGTAGCCCTGGCTGTCCTAGAACACCGTATATCAGCCATGCTGGCTTCAAACTCAGAGAGTTAACCACCTCTCCTTCCAAGTGATGATACTGAAGATTATGTAACCACGCCTGTCATATTTTTCTTATTTTAATGATGAAGGGCTTGAGGTCGGTAGGATAAATTAGGGCTTCGAGGTTGGGTTGGAACTTGTATAGCTCAGGTCTATGGCCTAGGTTCATAGCTTCCTGAATATATTCTGATCAAGGCATAGGACTGCCTGGAATTGTAACCGGAGTTTTAGAGCCAAAGTCTTAGGAAACCCAATCGGCTAGGCTCAGTTGCCTGTCCAGTCCGACCAAAGAGACAAGTAGTGGCAAAGAGTAGAGAAAGGAGACTGAACCGCAGTGGCCGTGTTGGGACTTACAGATGAAGGGGTCCAGATGTTGTGGTACTGACCCGAACTCTAGGTTTAAGTAGGGGAACAGGGACCTGCAAGATGGCGCAGCAGGTAAAAGTGCTTGCTGCCAAGCCTGCGACCCATGTTCAACCCCCAGAATGTAGATGGTGGGAGGAGAGGGTCACCTCCTGCTGCAGGTTGTCTTCTGGTGGCCACACACGCGCCCTTCACACACACTCTACATCCATGGTCCTCCACCTTCTGATGGCGCGACTCTTTAGTACAGTTCCTCATGTTGTGGTTTCCCCCAACCATGCAATTATTATGTAACTACTTTGTAACATAATTTTGCCACTGTTCTGAATCCTAATATAATATTTGATATATAGGCTGTCTGGTGTGCGACCCACAGGTTGAGAACCACTGCTCTAAAAAACTGTAATGAAATAAATGAATAAGGAAGCCTCAGGGAAAATGTGTACATAACTAAGCAGCCCTGCTGCATCTCCCTGCCCTTGTTTCGGCTCAGATCCCTAAACGCTGACTGATACATCGTTAATGGCTGGCATTGCCCCAGGGGACCCTGATTTGTTACCGAGTGTCCCTTCTCTATCATAGCCAACTGTTCCTATCTTGGAACAGCTGGTGTCACCCGGTCCATCCATAGTTAAGGTGAAGGCTGGTTGGGATGGTGACTCATCGTGGTGCCTTCAGATGAGAACGCTGATGCCAGCTTAGGTTGGTTCGGAGCAGGTCCTTCACCTCTGACCCCTCTTTGCGCTCGTATCTGCCTCCGCCCTTTCTGTCAGCTCTCATTCTCTCTCTGTGACTCCTGTCCATGTATTTTTGTCATTAGAAGCAACAGAGAGACAAAGCTTGGAATGCTGGCTGCGGGATGAAGCTGGGATCGGGGACCCCACCTGCCTCTGACCTTGTGTGTTCATAGGTGCAGTAGCTGTCATCTTTGTTGGTAAGAACACCCTAAAATACCAGGTGCCTCACCCAAGGTGCTGCCCGCGTGTGTTCACTTACTTCCCGTCATAACCGAAGGACCACTTTCTGTTTCTGTCCCTTCTATAGCTGAAGATGAGCACAGCAGGTTAGGTGTTGGGACCGAGGTCACACAGCGGTTTCATCACAGGTAAGCATGAGGAATCTTCTGGAGCAGCGTACTAGCACGCATGTGCTACTTGGATAGTCCCTGATGTGTCAAACAATAGCATGCTAGATATTATAGAGACTTTTTTTTTTTGGTTTTTCGAGACAGGGTTTCTCTGTGGCTTTGGAGCCTGTCCTGGAACTAGCTCTGTAGACCAGGCTGGTCTCGAACTCACAGAGATCCGCCTGCCTCTGCCTCCCAAGTGCTGGGATTAAAGGCGTGCACCACCATCGCCCGGCTAAAGGTTTTTTTCCCCCACAAGAGGGCGCCAGACCTCATTACGGATGGCTGCGAGCCAGCAGGGAATTGAACTCCGGACCTTTTGGAAGGAAGGAAGGGCGGGCAGTGAACAGTACTCTTAACCGCTGAGCCATCTCTCCGGCCTATAGTGACTTTTGTGATAGGGTCTCACTGTGGAATCCGGGCCAACTTGAACTGAAAGCAATCTTCCTGCCTCAGTTTCTCCTGAGTACCACAATTGCAGGTGTGTGACATCACACCAAGCTCTTGCTTCTGCCCAGCAAATATGATTCCTGTAGTCTGTTAATTTTAATTACGTTGATTCTAAAAATGTGTCTACATTATTTCCCAGAGGCGGGACTTCATTCAGTTGTCTCTGTTTCCATAGTGAAGTCTTCCACGGCTCTCCTCTCAGCTCAGTGAGTTTGCAAAACAGCATGGTTTGAAAAGCCGGCCATCCGTGCACTGATTCCCCGAGCACTGACTTGATCACTATTCCCCACTGTCCCAGTGTCAAAGTCTGACTCAGAGGCCGGGAAGGGAGTGTCTGCTTGGAGCAAACCGTTGTCTCTCCTGGGCCAGGGGTTCTCAGCTGCAGGGGCGAGTGCTGTCTGAATCAGCCTCTCTGAGGAGGACGCACAATCGCTATCCGCAGCATGCTGCCGTGGGAGCTGGCTGGTCACACCCTCGCCAGATGTTGATGGCTCTTTTCTCTCCCATCAATGCACCTTCCTAAGACACAGCCATTCGCTGGGAGGACAGAATGACCAAGTACAAGGTGAGCTGCACTGACTGTTTGTTTTTTTTAAATTCTCTCTCTTACATTTATTGGTTTATGTGTTGTGTGGGTGTGGCTGCATACAGGTGTACGTTGCCACAGGGTGGTGTGCATGTGGAGGTCAGAGGACAAATTTGGCTCTCTCCTTCTACCCTGTGGATCCTGGGGCTGGAACTCAGTTTCCCGGGCTTGGTGGCAAGCATCTTGACCCATGAGCTGTCTCACCAGCCCCTAAATTCTCATCTCTTTTCTCAAAAGTTCCACATATCTCCTTGCTTCTTAGGAAGTACTAAGGAGAATTGCTGACATTTGAGAAGCAGCCCTGGGATGCCAGATGTCAGTCACCCTGTGACACTTAGTTTCTACTTCCTTTTTATCACTTTATAATTGGATAAATAAAATAATAAAAACAAGGGCTGGAGAGATGGCTCAGTGGTTAAAAACACCGGCTGCTCTTCCAGAGGACCCAAGTTTGGATCCCAGCATCTCCATCAAGTAGCTCACAACAGCCTGTAATTCCAGCTCCCTCAGATGCGATGCCCTCTTCTGGCCTCTGAGGACACCTGCACTCACACAGCACATACACACCCCATATATACACAAGTACAAATAATAAAGATGGTTTTTAAAAATGATAAAGATAAAATGTAAATATGATTGGATGAACAATCACAGACTAGAAAAGCCCGCGACAGCATCATTCAGGTTGTGACTCTGCTATCACACACAAAGCTAGGCAAGAATAAGAGGGAGAATATCTGCTACATGGGTGCTAACGGCTGACAATACGGGCTAGAAATTAGACTGGCAGAGCACTTGCCCCACTCCGTCAGTGCCTGGCTTTGATCCCCAGCAGTGCAAAACAAACGCTAAGCTTAACGTGGTCAATAGAAGTTTACATAGCCATAAGCTATATACTCATTAAAATAGAGGGACAGGCAAAGTGCCAAAGAGAAATGAACATGGGGCTAGGGGCCTAGCCTAATGGGTAGAGTGTTTGTTTTGCATGCATGAAGCCCCAGGTTCAATCCCCAGCACCACATACACCAGTCATGGTGTCACTGGTGATCCCAGCACTCGGGAACTAGAGGCAGGAGGACTAGAGTAGTGCAGGGTCATCCTGGGCTATATCAAATTCGAGGCCAGCCTAAGCTATAAGACACTGTCTCCGAAGAAATAATAAAATACATAGAGGAGAGGGGCCTGGTGGTGCACATCTTTAATCCCAGCACTTGGGAGGCAGAGGCAGGTGATCTCAGTGAGTTCGAGGCCAGCCTGGCCTACAGAGTGAGTTCCAGGACAGCCAAGGCTATACAGAGACACTCTGTCTCAACAACAACAACAAAACAAAACAAAATAAAACCCACCACCCACCACCACCAACATAAACACAGAGAGGAAATAAACATGGTTAGTAAACTTGTGAAAATATATTAACATTGATTTTGAGCGCGGGTGTGCTCGTGTGCTTGCCAGAGCACACGTGGAGCTCAGAGGACAGCTGGCTGGAGTCATTGTCCAGGGGCAAGTCCTTCCACCACTCGGCTCCCAGGACTTGAACCTGGGATGTCTGGCTTAGTAGCAAATCCCAAATGTACTGCCTCTTGTTAGCTCAGATCTTTGTTATAGGTTCAATATTGTCTATGGCATGAAGAACTAAGGGTCTTTCTATTCATTTGAGGGAAAGAATATGATAGCCAATAAAGTTGAAAAGGAAGTCGGCCTCATACACTGTAACTTTAAAATGGAATATTTGTTAATGTTGCAGTTTTAATGCATAAGAAAATGGACAGTTGAGCTCCATATAAAAAGTAGTTGTTTTATGTTTTTGAGACAGGATTCCATCCTGTCCTGGAATTCAGTATGGCTTCCAACTGATAAGTCACCCTCCTGTCTCAGCCTCCCATGTACTGGCATGGGACACTGTACCCCACACCCAGTGTCTGTGGGGCTGCAGGTGGGACCCAGGGCTTTGTGGATGCCAGGCAGGTACTCCATGCCTATGCTCCATCCCAGCCTCAGCTACCCTTTGTCACAAGATTCAAGGGGCATGTGTTTGGTGTTGTAGGAGGCAGTAACATTCAAGGATGTGGCTGTGGTCTTCAGCGAGGAGGAGCTGGGGATGCTGGACGCTGCCCAGAGGAAGCTGTACCATGATGTGATGCAGGAGACCTTCAGGACGCTGCTCTCAGTGGGTGAGGATGGTTGTGTAGCAGAAAGTGGCTCCCACAACATCTCTGTGGCCCTGGCTGTGCCTGCAGCTCTTGAAGGGGTCTCAAGATCTTGAATCATTGTGAGACACAAAGCTGGATTTTTCCAGTGTTTCTCCCCTGGCTAATAATGTGTGTGTTTTGTACACGGAGCACAGGAGGGCAGTGGGATGCTGTGTTTTTGTGCCTTCTCTAATTTTAATCACTGCCACACATGGAGCAAATAGATGAACATGTTTTTTTTAACATTAAAATTTTTCACTTTGTGGGGCTAGAGAGATGTCACAGGGTTAAGAGCACTGGCTGCTCCTGCAGAGAACCTGGGTTTGGTTCCCAGCACCCATAAGGCAGCTCACAATCACCTGTAACTCCAGTCTCATGGAGATCCAACTTCTTTGTCTCACCCCTACAGACCCTAGACATGCACATAGTGCACAGACATACACGCAGGCAAAAGATTTATACATGTAAAATAAATAAATCATAAATTAAAAAAGTTCACTTTGTGTGCGTGTTTGTGTGTATGTGGGTGCACACGTGCTATAGCGTATGTATGAAGGTCAGAGGGCAACTTGGGGAGTAGATACTCCTCAGGTCTTCAGGCTTGGCAGCAGGTGCCTTCCCCTCAAAGTTGTCTTGCTGGCCCCTTATGAGCAACCTTTAATGAAATAAAAAATAGAGTAAAAAAGCCAAATGTGGTGCCACATACCTTTGATCCTAGCAATCTTGAGGCAGAAGTGGACAGATCTCTGTGAGTTCGAGGCCAGCTTGGTCTACATGGTGAGTTCCAGAATAGCCTGGAACTTTGAGATCCTATTTCAAAAAAATAAGAAATGGGAGTGGAGGGTAGGGATAACCAGAACCCTTCGTGGTAAGTTCTTATTGCAGCAAAAACTATAGCCTGTTACCAAAAATGTGTGAGACTGTAAAGGGAAAAGTGTATGTACGTGCGCGCGTGTGTGTGCGTGTGCACACGCGCACACGCACAAGCACTCTGCCAGGAAGATGTAACCCTAATACTGTTCTCACTTTTTATCTGGGCGAGGGCTCCCTACATGGCCAGGCTGGCCTTGCACCCACAGTTTCCCAAGCAGGCTTTGAACCTATAACCCTCATGCCTTAGCCCCCCAAATGCTGGGATTACAGGCTAGCGCCACCCATCCTGGTGGAAAGAGAAACTTTTAAATAATTTATGCTAATGTCTGCATCTTTTGTGTCTTTTACACAAAACGTATTTCTTTTGTTGTAACACAACTAGAATATTGGAAAGCAGGGCAGAAGGCCAGAGGATCACTTTGAGTTTGAGACTCGCCTGGGGCATACAATGAAACTGTTGTCTCCAAAAGTGATTTTTTTAGGTCATTTTCTTCTGCTTCATCTGTATTGGGGTGTTCAAGTCTTGCTGTTGTAGGGCCACTAGTTTTTGTTGGTGTCGTGTTGCTCTTTGTGGTGTTGAGTGTGTTTTTGTCTACCCATCTTTTCCTCTGCTTGGTGTAATTGGGACTGTCTGTGTCTCTGGTGATCAATCTTCCAGGTGCCTGTGGATCCAAGGCTCAGATGGTTGCATTTCGTGGTGCAGTCAGGGCCATGGTTCCAGTCACCCTGGAGGTCACTCTGTGTTCCTAGAGGTCTCTCAGCACTCCCTGTGGTCGCTCTGCAGTACTGGGGATCACTGGGGCCTGCTCCCACAGCGGCTGCTTGCTTGGATCTGCTTCTGCCGAGGTTGCTGCATTGGACCTGCTTCAGCAGAGGTCGCTGATTCATGCCCGGTCCCGCAAAGGTCTCTGGCTCGGGCCTGCTCCCTCTGCAGCGGCTCCCTTGTACCTGCTCCTGTGGAGGTTGTTAGTAATTCTATTCTTTATAAGTCACCGAGTCTCAGGTATTCTATAAGAGCAGCTAGAGGTGTCCAAACTTCAGACACCGTGAAACAACATTGCTATCTACAAATATGTTGGGCCATATTCACCCTCCATAGGCTGGGCACAACTGTCCTAAGGCAGAGACATTCCAGCGATAACCGATAACAATGTAAAGGTGCTGGTCTAAAAGAAACATCAAAGAGTTTGCCATAGCAGCATCAATTGCTATGTAGATTGCCGGGGGTGGGTGCCCAGCAAGGAGAATGTCTGCTATCTGCAGTGGAGGACGATGGCAGAAGGCTGCGAGTCTCAGCTCTCTCATCTGTAAAGAAATGGTAGTGATGTTAGCGCTGCAAGATGGGGGAAGTGGGAATAAACAGAACGGTGAAGATAAAAGTCCTCAGGACAGTGCCTCTACCAAGCCCAGACCAAAGGGACAGTCCTGACTCCATGAAACTGTTGTCTCAAAAACAAAAACAGAGCAAATCAGCAAGTCTGGAAAATGCATACTAATGTGATGTGTGTGTGTGTAGTGTGTGTGGTTTATGTGGTATGTGTGTGTATTGTATGTGGTATGTGTGTGTGTTGTGTGTGGTATGTGCATGTGGTATTATGTGTAGTGTATATGGTATGTGAGTGTGGTATATGTGGTATGTGTGTGGTGTGTGTGTGTATGGTATCTATTTATATGTATATATGAAGTGTGGGTGTGTATGTGCATGTACATGTGTACAACAATACACTTATGGGAGTTAGAGGACAATTTGTGGGTGTCACTACAAAACACCACACACCCACACCCCATGCACACCACACACACAAAACTTGATAGGATGTCTTATTCTAATTTTCTAGGTGCCTTTGCAGATAGATAGGTAGGTAGGTAGGTAGGTGGTAGGTGGATGCTAATGTTCATTATCTGAGCACTGTAGTCTCCAGCTGCTGTAACAAAGCATTGTAGGCATAAACCCTGGGTTTATGTCTCAGCACTACAAAACAATAATAACAACAACAATATAAACCCTGGGCATACGTGGTTTATAAACAACTGAAACCTGGTCTGGAGAAATGAGCTCCTTTTACTCTTTCAGTGGACTCAAGTCTGATCCTTACCCACGTCATGTGGCCCACGTGTGTAACGCCGGCAACTGCATGACCTGATGGCCTCCCTGATGCCGCTTCCCTGGGGTCGGGGTTTCAGGCACCTTAGAGCACGTGTCTTTCCTTGTGACTTTCCCATGGCATTTGTAGTGAGTCACACCCACGGGGGTGGGGAGGTTCCAGTTCATTATGGCAATGCTGAGGATGGACTCAAGACCTTGTACATTCTGGGCAAGGCTGCTGCCACCGAGCGGCATCCCAGGCTTTTAAAAGGCCTCTTCTTAGTCAGGACCCTAGAAGTGACCTCTGCCTTTCACATGAGGACAGAAGTAGCAGCAGAAACACGTAGCCTTCAAGTTCGTCTTTGTTTCACAGCCACCTTCCCAGAAGACTCAGGGAAGAATATCGCCTGTTGTTTAGTCTTATTGAAAAATACTGTATGTATGGCCCTGTCTTTGTTGTCTACAGAAACAAGTAAATGCCATAGAAGAAACCTACTAGCCACAGTGAGACCTTGTGGGGGTGGGGAGGAACACAGTTTTACTAAACAACACACGTTAGGGAAGGTGACGCTCAGTTTAAATCAGGGGCAGGTTGATGCCATTTACAGCGAGAAACAGACCCTGACAGGAAGGAACTAATTGTCCTCCCCTGCTCTGACACACGTTCTAGAAGGCACAAGAATGCCACATTCAGAAACCATCATGTGCAGCATGTGTGCAGAAATGCAGGCTGTGTGCTCGTAGAACTCAGGATGCACCCGTCTTTTCCAAGGATGTGCCAACACTGCAGAATTTTTCGCCTAAGCAATTCAGCTGTTTTATTGAAGAATCATTACATTCTGCTAACACTGGAATGACCTTCTGGTGAAACTCAGGGTAGCCATTGGGCTAAGAGCTCTCTGTGAGTCGGAGGCTAGCCTGATCTACTACCAAGTTCCAGGCCAATAAGGAACACCACTGATACCTGTGCTTTAGTACTGACAAAAGTCACATGCTAACCAAGACCCTGCTTTAGTACTGACGAAGGTCACCTGCTAACTCCCTGTCTGTATAACAAAACACAGTTGGCCATGCAATAGGTAGAAGTGTGTGGAATTTGTTTTCCAACCTCCCACAAAGAGGACGCAATGTTTCGGTTAAAAAAATTTTTGGGAGCACAGCATTTTTTTGTTTTTATTTATTTATTAAAGATTTCTGTCTCTTCCCCACCGCCGCCTCCCATTTTCCTCCCCCTCCCCCAATGGAGTCCCCCTCCCTCGTCAGCCCAAAGAGCAATCAGGGTTCCCTGCCCTGTGGGAAGTCCACATCCATCCAGGTCTAGTAAGGTGAGCATCCAAACTGCCTAGGCTCCCACAAAGCCAATACGTGCAGTAGGATCAAAAACCCATTGCCATTGTTCTTGAGTTCTCAGTAGTCCTCCTTGTCAGCTATGTTCAGCGAGACCGGTTTTAACCCAGGCTTTTTCAGACCCAGGCCAGCTGACCTTGGTGAGTTCCCGATAGGACATCCCCATTGTCTCAGTGTGTGGGTGCACCCCTCGCGGTCCTGAGTTCCTTGCTCGCGCTCTCTCTCCTTCTTCTCCTGATTTGGACCTTGAGGTTTCAGTCCGAGCACGGCATTTTTTTTAACGTTTCTTTTGAAGCTCAGCTTTAAGGTTTGTTTGTATGAAGTATGTTTATGTGTGAGAATGTGTGCACCTGAGGCCAGCGCCCTCGGAACTGGAGTTACAAGCGGCTGTGCTGCCTCAAGTTGGTGCTGGGAATCGAAAGAACACGCTTAGTTGTCAGTCATCTCTCCAGCTCTTTGAAGGTCATTTAAAAGATGTTTATTACTTAATGTGCTTGGTTGTTTTGCTTGTGTATCTGTGCACCGGGTACATGCAGTACCCTCTAAGGCCAGCAGAGGGCATCAGTTTCCCCTGGAACTGGAGTTACAGATGGCTGTGAGCAGCCTTGCAGGTGGAAGGAATCAAACCCAGGTCCTCTGGAAAAGCAGTCAATGCTCTTAACCCCTGAGCCATCTCTCCAAGCTCCTAAAGGTCATTAAAAAAATAAAGACAACTTTAGAAAAAATTAAGAAAAAATGCTTATTAAATAAATATGGTGATTAAATCAAAGAAAGGACATTGTGCCACGTTCCACCACTCTGCATATACATTTTCCCCTCATATTTCTGCATCCAAAGGGGGGTGAAATATCAGTTTAAAGGGATACTAATCATGTAAATATTACTTTAAATTTTTTTTTGTGTGTGTGTATACATGGCTTGCCAGCATGTATGTCTGCACCAAATGCATGCTTAGTACCAGCAGAGGTCAGAACGTGGCATCAGATCTGGGCCTGGAGTTAGATGGTTGTGAGCTGCCATGTGGGTTCTGGGAACTGAGCTCAGGTCCTCTGGAAGAACAGCCAGGACTCTTATCCATTGAGCCATCTCTCCAGTTGATTTAAGTCTTTAGTGGCAGCTAATTTTTTCTCATTTTCCCAACAACTTAATTTCCCTTTTTCTGTTGTTTGCTTTTGTTTTTTGAGACACTGTCCTAGTAGTCCAGAGAGGTCTCAGACTCACTGTGCCTTGAACGTGTGACCCACCTTCCTCCTCCTAAGTGGTAGAATTACAGGCCCTGGCCACCTCGCTCAGTTCATTATTGTCTTCTCTATGACAGGACTAGACTGGCTTCAAACTTGCATCAGCCTCCTGTCTTTGCATCCCAGATACTGGGACCATAGGCATGTCACCAGAAGAGGCCCAATTCCCATCTTAAAACTGCATCTTGAGGTTTTTAAAACAGATAAGATGTAGCCAGACCTGGTGATAATTCCTAACCCTGCAATCTCAGCTACTCAGACGGCATTTTCAAAGCCCATCAGAGGAAATTTGGTAGACTGTCTGAAAATGTGTAAAAGGGCCAAGGATGTTGCCTAGCCTGTGTGGAGCCCTAGATCCAATCCCAAGTCCTGAGCAAACAATGCATAGAGTCCTGGTATGAACCAGCAATGCTGAGGTAGAGACAGGAAGATCGGGAGTTCAAGGTCATCTTTGTTGATACAGTAAGTTCAAGGCCAGCCTGGGGTGCAAAAGACCCCATCTCAGAAAAGATTCCATAGGATTCTGTGGTCCTCCCTTTGCAAGGCAAGACCATCTCTGTAAAAAGATGGGCATGATGCATGGTCCAGGAATGTAGGGATTTTTAGCGATTGGCCATCCACCTCTGTCCTCCCTCCCTCCCTCCCTTCCTCTTCCCCTTCCTCTTCCTCTTCCCCTTCCTCTTCCTCTTCCTCTTCCTCTTCCTCTTCCTCTTCCTCTTCCTCTTCCTCTTCCTCTTCCTCTTCCTCTTCCTCTTCCTCTTCCTCTTCTTCTTCTTCTTCTTCTTCTTCTTCTTCTTCTTCTTCTTCTTTTTCAAGACAAAGTTCCTCTGTAGCTTTGGAGCCTGTCCTGTAACTGACTCCAAAGACCAGGCTGGCCTTGAACTCACAGATCTGTCAGCCTCTGCCTCCCAAATGCTGGAATTAAAAGTGTGCACCACCATGCCTGGGGGGGGGGAATCTGTTTTTTTGTTTGTTTGTTTTCCGATGGGAATCCTTTCCTTGCTCCAGCGAGGACAGAGTGTCAACTTGTCACTCCCCTGTGATGCTCTCTAGTGCCCCTGGCTTCTAGGGCGTGGAGGTGAGATGACAGACACAGGGTGTTAAAGGGAAGGGGACCATCCTCTGGTCCAGTGAAGCATTAGGCTGAGGTCTTAACTATATAACTCCAACTCCAGCCAACAGAGCATCCACATGCCCTGCTTCTCTCTGAACTCTCTTTATGCTTTTAGGATCCAGGAGTCTAAATGAGACGGAGTTGCTTCAGGAGGTAGGATGGAGGTACCTGCCGCACGAGGAGCTTTTCTGCTCAGGAATCTGGCACCAAGTTACAAGAGAGTTAACCCAGGGTCGAGACTGCATGCGGAACGCTGGAGAAAATGGCTCTCCGTTGGGGAAACAGGATGGTGTCCAGTGTGAAGACGCCGGCTTCAGTAAACATTCCGGTCGGAATTCGCGGCTTCAGCTCCACTGCGGAATGAGTGGTGGTGAAGATCCTTCTAAAAAGGGGGTGAATGGGGAAGACGCTAGCTGGGACTGTCATCTCGGGGTGAATGGGCAAACCCACGTGGGAGAGAGGCGGTACAAATGTGAGGAGTGTGGCTACTCCTTCTGCCGCCTGTCGGGTCTTCAAGCTCACCAAGTAAGGCACACGGGAGAGAAGCCGTACAAATGTGAGGAGTGTGGGAAGGGCTTCACTCGGGCCTCTACGCTTCTGGACCATCAGCGAGGCCACACTGGAAACAAGCCCTATCAGTGCGATGCTTGTTGGAAGAGCTTCTGTCACAGCTCAGAATTTAACAATCACGTGAGAGTCCACACGGGCGAAAAGCCCTACGTATGTGAGGAGTGTGGGAAAGGCTTCAGCCAGGCCTCGCACCTTCTGGCTCACCAGAGAGGCCACACTGGCGAGAAACCCTACAAATGTAGCACGTGTGGGAAGGGCTTCAGTCGGAGTTCAGATCTGAACGTTCACTGTAGAATCCATACCGGAGAGAAACCCTACAAATGCGAGAAGTGTGGGAAAGCCTTCAGTCGCGTTTCAATTCTCCAAGTCCACCAGAGAGTTCACAGCGAAGAGAAACCGTACCAGTGTGCAGAGT